GGATGTGATGGCTCAACTATTCTATATGAACCACCAAAACGCCCTCTAAATGTATACTCCTCTTAAAAAGGAAATTGCTGAGCCTCTCTTCCATCTGAAGTTGGGCATGGAACAACTGGCAGCCAGCCAGACCTTCAAGTACATCCTGGCGACAGTGCTAGCGATCGGTAACTTTCTCAACGGATGTAAGGTGAGTGCATTCCGACGCAAGCTTGACTTTATCCATCTTTCCATTATTTCTTACAACACATTGTTTTATCCCAAGGCCCGTGGTTTTGAGCTGAGTTACCTGGGGAAGCTGTCTCAGGTAAGGGACACACACACTCGCCAGCCCCTGCTGCACCACGTCTGCGTGTTACTGCTGCAGCTCTATCCAGAATCCTCTGACCTCTACTCGGACATCACCGCGGTTACTAAAGGTGGAAAGGTGTGTGGCTGCATCTGTGGATTTGCATTTGTCCAACACAGCTGATTCATTCTGAAGATCACTTATAGAGTCAGTTAAACCAGCAAACTGTGGAAAGCACAAAACCTTCTCTTCTCTTTACAGTGTGACTACTCCCAAGTCCAGTCTAACTTTACCCAGCTGGAGAGCCTGTGCAAAGCATCATGGGAGCAGGTGAAGCTGCTGAATAAAGCCGACGAAAAGAGGAAAGGAGGAAAGGGGGAAAAGATGAAAGGGATAGGTGATGAGGCCCTGGCCCCGGACGGTTCGCTCCGTCACAGGCTTCCGAAGATTCTGAAAGAGTGTGAGGAAAGGCTGAAAGTCCTAAGAGCCGTCCATCGTAGGGTTATCAACAGGTACTCTAATCATATTTTAAATGATATTTGTTAGCAAACAAAACATTTTCCATCTCAGTCCTTACTCACACAGGCCAAGCACTTTTTCAAGTTTCACTGCTACTTCCTGAGCCGTGGGGACTATTTGTACAGAAGTTTTCCATACAAAGTGTACACATCCACAGCAGTCTGCTAGCAATACAAGGAAAAGCACAAGGAAGTTTTCATTGCAGCATCTTAGGCTTCTTTGTGATAAATTGTATCTGAAAGTTCTCTAGCAATTGGTGGTTTCCAGGAGGCCATGGATCTGCCAGTGGGTATGGCAGACTGACTGACTCCTTAATCAACAAGTCTTTGCTTACACCGTTTTTACTTTTTTCTAGGTTCCACTCTTTTCTCCTGTTCCTTGGCTACTCCCGGGCCATGGTGAGGGACACCAAACCGGAGGACTTCTGCAAAACCATCAGTAACTTTTCCCTGGAGTACAGGACCATGCAACAGGCTATCCTACTGCAGAGAGAAAGAGAGCGGGAGCGACAGAAAAATGTGACCGAAAGCCCGGGTCCAAACACCCCTGTAGGAAAAAGAAAAAATCAACAAACTCCATCAAAGGTTATTACACTAAATTAATTTATACAAAAATATTATAGTCAATTTGGGGGGTATGAGGGCACTATTTTATTAATCCATTCATACTCCTCCAGGACAATGATGAGCAGGGTAGGCTGGAGGAGGTACTGAGAACACCCGAGTCCATGTCAAGACTGGATGTTACTTTGCCTCGAAACAGGAAGAGGATGGCTGACCTCCAAGGTACTTTATATAATATGCTCATTCCATTTTTTGTATATATATGTGTACATGTATATGTATACCCCCCCAACAGCCCTTTTGAATGTCTCCCTACTTCTGAGGTCTCAAGGTTGGCCAGTATGATTGTCACGTGTCACAAATGAATTCCTTTTTGTTTACCTCACAGGTGCATTTTCTCGGAAAATGAAGTGGTGACCCTGCTGACATATGCAGAAGCAATGTGTGATTGTTATTAATGGCATTGTTGTTACACTGCAGCTTTACATTTAGAGCACTATACCAGTAAGAGATTGACAAGCGCATGAGATTTCACATGCTATTCAATGTTAATGAATAAAATGGTTTTGGTAAAATAATGGTTTTGATCAAATACATAAAAATATATTCATTTCTATCTCTGTCTTAATGGAACTAATTCAAATAAACTACAACTTCAACAATCAATTGGATCAAATCTATTGTGTATGTAACATTAACTGAATTTTTCATATTAGCTCCTTAATAAAAAATAAATAAAAGTAAAGACTCAAAATAGAAACTGGCAAGCGTGTCTGTTTTTAGGACTTAACCCCTGCTGCTCTCAACCAGTAAAACACTACAGTTGTGCCTCGGTTTCGGGTTAAAACAAAGCACAGCCATCAATGTTTTAGAGCCACAAACTAGCAGTGTCGTACGTACCGTCGGGTAGTCAATTGATTAGCATACATGAATGTCGTCATCAATGAGCGGCAACGGCAGTGGCAAGAGCACGAAACCTATCAGCGAAGAGATTAAACAGACACGGGCTCAGGATATCCAATCAGAAACTAGGATTCGGAAGCGGGCGTGGCCTTCCCCTGTCGCCAGTGCGAGTCGACGCCATTTCGTGTCCACTGGTTTCAAGGTGATACGTTGAGCCAGCAGCGCTGTAAGCGGATCTTTACCCGTGCAAGTAGAAAGAGCGTTGAATTGTTCTCATTTTTAGTGTTAAACTCCTGGTGAGTATTTTTAAATGAGAGATTTTTTTTTTACCTTTTTACATTTTTTTTGTTTTTGTCCTGACTTTGAACCGTCTTTGGGACTTTTTGTTTTTATTTTTAATGTGTTTTTTCCCCTCCTGGCTGGTATTCCTGAGACTGTTGGCTGTAGTGACGTACATTTTGTGATGGCACAAACTGCACAGAAACTAGTTTTAAATAGCTTCCACAACAACATATAGGCTTATATATATTTTTTATTATTATTATTTGTTTTTATTTTTTCGAATACGACATTTTAAAGGCTTGATTTTTGTAGGGATGCCGTGTAAAACTATGATTTATTTGCGTATGCTCTAATTTCTATGAAGATAAAATATGGAAGGATTTTCTGGACAGTTTTGCCAGAAAGAAAATAAAAGTGTCGCCGTTTTTCTGGGAATATGTTTTTAAATTTTGCATTTTATTCTGGTCCTGTGTTTTGCCTCCACTTGAAACTTGTTATGCGGTCGTTTACAACGAGTCCTAACGACGTATTTTTCCGCTTTCTGTGTGATTTTGGCGGTGCTGAGGCGGTGTGTTTGCCGCAGCTGATCTCAGGAGTCCTGTTATTTTGCAGGCGAGATGTTTTCCCTCTGTGAGAAGCGGGGGCGTTTTTGGAGGAACATTAAAGCAACAGTGCTTTTATGTATCACACGTTCATGGACGGGGGAGGGAGGGGGGGATGTAACACTGGCACTACAGAATTATGCATTTGGTAATTTTGATATAATTACTCATTTTTTGTGTTTTAACAATCTTGGCAATGTACTCTGAGCTGTGCAGCTGCTTAGACCCGAAGTGCTCAAGTGGGCCTGCTGTAAGGCAGGCTTATAGACCTATGTGGGGTTTTTTTAAGCCTTTCATTGGATTTAAAGCTTTATGAATTAACATTTATATACTAATAAACAAACTTATAATCAATTATGCAACATTTTACAGTGGAAAGTCAATGAAGTCTACTTTTTTTTGACCCACTTTGCTCTACCCAACTTCCACGGTCCCCAAGTGGGTGTGGTCTGCAGTGAAGTGGCCTTAAGCAGGGGTGTTGTTCTGACCCCTACATGGAGGGCAGGCAGGAGGCCAAAATAAAGCACCCACCGCCCTTTTCGCAGACCACTGATTCCTTTGTGGGTCAGTTTACATTAACATAGAAGCTCAGATAGCAAAATTGTTTTTTTTGTGTTATAAATGATAGAGTTCAGTGAAGAGATGCAGATTTAAAATGTCAGTTTCTCCTTCAGAATCCCTGGTGTTAAAGGTAGTATAACAGCTAATCCAGATTTATCGTTCTGTAGAATGAAAAAAAGTTAAATGTAATAAAGTTGAAGTCCTACTGAACTCACTATCATGTAATTATTTTTAAATTTCAGGATTTTTCCAGAAGGTATAAAGTAAAAACACTTTTTGGTAGGTACTACATTTCTTTTAATGCAGTACTCAAAATTACCTCTTGCACTACAATTTGATAAACACCGGTTTCACAATATTACCAGATCTGTTAAGAATAAAATCTTCATCTTTATTCTAGCTGTACTAAATGGACAGAACTGTACTGTACATCTACAGGAGCTGCTCAGTCATGGTAACCCAGGCCATGAAGCTCCTGGTGCACAGTGTTTGTGCTGATGTTAATGCAAGAGGAGATTTGCAGCTCTGCAGTAATTTGCTTAGCAGGGGTTTTGTGACCTTTAAGCATCGGCGACCCCGGTCTGTAACTTTACAACATCGGGCACGCTACTACTTCAAAATGCTTCCATCTTGCAATAACACCACTTAAAGCTGATCGTGGAATATCTAAGATCGAGGAAACCTCATCATCAGAAGTCCAGTACGTCTGTACTACCTAAAGTGCATATAGTTAAACAGTCATGAGCTGTAATAAGTATCTTTATTGTAGATGTGATTTGTAAAATGTCTAATCATATTTTTCCATTAGTGTTTTTAAATTTTGATTTAAGAAGAAATTCCTTGGAAAAATTGACTTCTCATATTCCCGGATCTCTTGTCACCGCAGTGTGATGTAGAGCTCACAACTTATCCTAAATAAGTGATGAGCCGCTTTTGTAGCGTTCATGTTTTTTGCCCTGACGTTTTCTCCCCTGCTTGTTGTGATGACAGCATCAGAACAGTCTAGAAACCTTCTTTTCTAATTTCTACCTTTTTTTTTTTTTGTTTCCCCCGTTTAGTTTTTGAAGCCACTTTTTTCAGCAGCAGCAAATCGTAAGTTGGTCTACACTTTTTTTGTTTTTTCACCTCAACTTTTGCATCATTTTTTTAATATATTACTCCACTTTCACCCCTTTTTGGCATTAGTCTATTTTCTACCTCCCCC